CACCCGCCTACGTCAGCGCCATGGAGGTTCTATCAGAGCTCAAGGACAAGACTGACGACGTGTGGGAGCGCGTCCACATCGTCTACAGTCTCTCCAAGGACCTCGGGCTCCCGGGATTTCGCGTCGGAGCCCTCTACTCAAACGACAAAATGGTCGTGTCCGCCGCCACGAAAATGTCGAGCTTCGGGCTCATCTCCTCCCAGACGCAGTACCTCCTGGCGGCCATGCTCTCCGACAAGAAGTTCACGAAGAAGTACTTGTCGGAGAACCAGAAGAGGCTGAAGGAGAGGCACGAGATGTTGGTGGCCGGACTCCGGGAAGCCGGGATCGAGTGCCTAGAGAGCAACGCGGGATTGTTCTGCTGGGTGGACATGAGACACCTCCTAAGCTCAAACACCTTCGAGGCGGAGATGGAACTGTGGAAGAAGATCGTGTACCAAGTGGGCCTCAACATCTCTGCGGGATCATCGTGCCACTGCACCGAACCTGGCTGGTTCAGACTTTGCTTCGCCGACATGTCCGAGGAAACGTTGGGTCTAGCAATGAAAAGGATAAGTTCGTTCGTCGCGTCCGAACAACCCGTGACGACCGGAACAACGAGCCCTCGGAATTCGAACAAGAGCAGCAGGAGGAAAGGATTCACAAAATGGGTTTTGAGACTCTCGCAGAATAACGACCGTAACAGAGAGCGATAGTCTGCGCATTAATTTTCTACAATTTGTGAATTCTAGCTTCTTTTTTTGTGCTCAAATCTTGGGGTTTGAGTACGTCACACTTCTTGTTTTCATTTTTGTACCGCTCAACACACAATTTTGTTTAGTGTTGGCGTTTTTCGCCCAACTTGGCCAGTCCTTGACGATGTACTAGTGGTTTAATTTACTGGTTTCACTCTTACTTCACCTGTAAAATTTAGTGATTAATAATATACTCCGCATGATTTTCATTTAATTTATTTTCACTCTTACTTCCGATATTTATTTGATTTCCAGAAATATTTGATTAATGGAATTAGGGCAAGTTATTACCCTATGTCCCATTGTCCCGCCAAAAAGAGGCATGCAAAAAAACAAAACAAAAAAATTACTGCGTAAAAAGAAAAAACCGTACCCCTGCTTTAAAAATAAATTTACCCTAGTAGGGGAGGTTTTTCTGTTCAATCGTACGGCCCACAGCCGCATGTGATACCATGGCTTTGTCATGTGAATACCATATGATTTCCATGCACATCAATCATTTTTCATCGCCACATCATACGCCGATGTGGCTTTCTACTTTTGTTTTTCTTCTGTTCTGTAAAAATGATATTTGTCGTCAGCGGTTGTGTCATGGCTATTTATGGCGCAAATGACGTCCACTATCTCCACTTTCCATTATTTGTGGAACGACTAATGGGTCCTAACTTAAATAGATTCGCTTCTCTCTTAAGTTTGTTCTCTTCAATTTAAAGATTGAATTCCTCCCTATTGAAGAAATAGACCAAAACCAATATTCACACATTCTGTTTCATTGTTAGTTTGGAAAACTTTAATGTTCGAATTTAATTGATTTTTAATCATGTTTTCAAAACTAACAAAATAGAGTAGGCTTTAGATGTTTGTTTTAAAGAATAAATTCTGTGAATTTGTTGAAGTCATCTATAAAAGAGATATAATAACGAAAACCACTAAGAAAAGTAACAAAGATTAAACCATGCTCACAGTGGCCTTGTACCGCACTTGGTTGTTAGTGTTGTCCACTATCTGAAATTCATTGGCATTAAAAACAAGAGTGTGATAGTTATCTTTGGTAAAACGATGGACATATAACAAACTCGATGTAAGGGAGGGGAGTTGGTATTTATCATAAAAAACCTGTGTGTGATGGGTAAGGATTGACCATTGCTTACAATGATAGTATAAGTACCGGTATATGAATGGGGAGAATGAAATTGGGAATAATCAGACATAACATGAGTGTTGCCATCAGCCTCGAGGGATTCACTCGAGGTTTCGTAACTCTAGTCTGTTAGTTTCAGCTTTAGCCATGTACGTCAATGTGTCATGAAGTTGTTTTGATAGTGTATGAATGTGATACTGTCTGTGGGTAACTTTTAGCATTAGATATATATTCTCATTCAACTTTCAACTAAATATAATCTTTATTTTTTTTCCTGCACACATGTAGGGATCAGGGACAAGAGGGACAACTCGGTGGATAGTGACATGTGGCATGGATAGCTCTATTGTTTTTGTTAAATTTTATTATTTAATTTTTATTATTTAATTCATTTAAAATACAAGAATATTTGAATGTTGTTCGAAAACTTCCGCATTTGTTGAATTTTTTACTCCACACATTGTATATTGAAATTGGTGTGTTTGGATGATTTAATTAATTAAGTACTTTTAGTATGTTGTGCTTGTGAAAGTAGCAACTCGGTTTGCTAACTTGTTAGTTCATATTACCTAGATTTGAGTGTTATATATTCTCTCTATCTCAAAATAAGATTTCTTATTTTCTTTTTAGAACATGTTCCAGAAGAAGCATTTGACCTCTTTTGTGTTTTGGAAAATTTTTTTTACCTAAATATGACTAAAATATAATGATTTTCTCAATTTAGAACCATATATTTTTATTTTTAATGTAGGACCATTGGTCATTATTCAAGTAAATATCCATCATCACTAGACATCATTATTCCTCTCACTAAATAATACTCCCTCCGTTTGGAAAAACACTTCTCATTTGGATTTGAGGCAAAAATAAGGAAGTGTTAAATTATAGTTGATTTCCAATTTTGCCCCTGATGTGATGGGTAAAAGTAAGATGTGATGGATAGATTATTAGAGAAAAAGTATGATGTGATAGGTAGGGTATGAAAAAGTAAGGGTAAAAGTGGTTTTTTAATAGAAAAGGGAAGTGTTTTGTTGGAAGTGTAAAAAATGAAAAAGGAAGTGTTTTTGAGAACGGATGAAGTATTAAGTCCTATTTAGAGAATAAAAAATTTTATGTCTTACATTGGAAAATAACTTGTGTTTGTATTTTTATTTAGTGTATATATTTCTTCTAAAAATTAGGATTAGTTCTATTTAGAGGGAAAATAGTTTAGATCCACTTTTCTTGGGTACATGAGGTACATCATGTCCAAGTCTTGAGTTAATTCCGGAATAAAAGAATTTAAAATAAGCACAAGTTATATAAAAAAAAATTGGCCCCTTAATAGTCCTATATAGGTAGTCCGGAACAAGAAGTTTCCACATAGGCACAACTGTGCATGAGTTCGCGGGTTCACGTGGCATCATCCTTATAGCCATGTGCAAAATCTAACTCGTTGATGCATCTCAAATGCGCCCGCAAAAGTCGCACTGGACCGTCGATAGATATCAGATAGGAACTAGGTAGGTAGCTACTAAGTAGCTTGGTCTTACATATCCAAATGGACCTACAACCTTTTACTCTCTCTTAAATGTATTGGTCTATTTTTTGACACATGCACTAAAGAAAAAACAACACTAGGAAATGTTTATTAGTATCCGTCTGAGAGCATTCAATACACTTTTTAAATCCATTTTATCTTGTAATTTGTATATTAAAAAATTATAGAAATTATATATTAATAATCTATATGTTAAGACAAATCAAACAAGATCACACATGACTATATTTAGGCTTACACTTTGAGAAAATTTGATAAGTCAAAGTGCTTAGATGAACAGTTCCAAAAGTCAAAACTGGACGAATACTCCGGAACGGAGGGAGTATTTTCTTTCTTCCTTGAATTAATTTTCTTACCTTTTTTTTTAGATAATTTTAAAAAATTGTCTCAATATTTTATTTATCATATTATTGTAAAGAATTTGTGGTTCATAATATTTTCTTTGTTCTAAACAAATTTCCACCGCTAACTTTTTACTTTCAAGACATTTTTTAACTCTGTAAAGTCAAGTTGAGATGATAAATTCGGGACAATAGAAATATTATTTCATTTATCTTACTATTTTTTGAGACATGACAGAATGATTTGGAAATTTTTAAGTGTGATTTTGTGATTGATATGAAAGAATATATCTCTTTCATCCATATTTATTCTAGAACATCTAGTGATAAATGAAGTGAAAAGTGATAATTTAATAGCTAATCATTAAAAATAGAAAAGAGTTATGAAAATTACGTTGTCTGATTTTGGGAGAAAAAAGAGCAATAAAAGAGAGTATTCATTGTTGGGAGTGAAAGGGGAAGTTGCTTGGTAAGATCCGGACAAGAATTAAATCGTACGTATCCGCCCAATTGGATCTGACGTGCCATTCATTACTTAACTCCTCCAAATAATTAGTCTCCTCCCACTTCCTATATATACACTTCGAGGCAGAGGACAATTCACCACCACAACAACATCATCTTCATCCTCATCCCCCCCTCTCTCTCTAAGCTTCATTTCTTCATCGGAAGAGAAAATGAAGTTCCTATCTGATAAAGTGACAAACAATTCACACGGACAAGATTCGTCCTACTTCTTGGGATGGCAAGAGTACGAGAAGAACCCTTACGATGAAATTAAGAACCCAAAAGGTATCATCCAAATGGGTCTCGCCGAGAATCAGCTCTCCTTCGACCTCCTCGAGTCTTGGATGGCTCTCAACCCCGAAGCCGCGGCGTTCCAGAACCCCGAGGGCGAGTCCGTCTTCAGACAGCTCGCCCTCTTTCAAGACTACCACGGCCTTCCCGAATTCAAGAACGCCATGGCTCAGTTCATGTCCGAAATCCGAGGAAACAAGGTGGACTTCGATGCCGACAACCTCGTCCTCACCGCCGGCTCTACCTCCGCCAACGAGACTCTCATCTTCTGTCTCGCCAACCCCGGCGACGCCTTCCTCCTCCC